CGAAACAGGTGAAAATGGTATGATTTCCACATGACGGGACGAAATACTTGAATTCCCGACTCCCCAGACTACAGTCGGCCTCGGTGGGCAGGGAGCGATCTCCGTGTAGCAGGATACATTGCCGATCGATGTCAGACACACATTTCCAGAAACGGCCGTCTCGCAGGCACTTGAATTTCCCTATGCTGATCCTTTTGACCAGCCCTCCGAAAGTCGTCATGATCGTTGGGCTTGGGCATTCCTCGTGGCCTAGATTGGGTCAAGAATTGGAGAATTGTCTCTGATCGATATATTGGGGGATCAGAATGGAGAGTTCAAAAGGCGAAACTTACGAATCTGTATCACCACCAGGAAGATGCAGAGGAGAAACATCACCCCGGAAAACAATTTCCATTTGCACAACGGGCTAAAATGGGGGTTGACCTTTTTTGCACTGATCGGGAGCAATGAATGACGGCTTGGTTTGAACGAGAGGGCCTGTGGTGCGTCTCGGGATCTTGGGGAGTTCTCACTCGATGGATTGGGAGTTCGTCTGGCCGTCATCAGCGTAAACAGTTCACTCAAATCCATTTTGAGGGATATTGAATATTGATTCAGTGAGGCACCTTAAGTAAGCCTCAAAATTGAGAGAGGATTTCGAGGGCAGATGCGAAATTATCGGTCAATCAGAGACATCAGAAGCTCTGACAAATTGTGCGGACATTTGGTCAGCATCGATAATCGGAAATCCCAAAGTTTTAATCGCATGCCAGTCTCGATGGATAATGCCGAGACTGAAGCTCACATTCGTGCACTTCATTGCTTGATTACTAACAGCACTGAGGGATGGCTCGGATAAGGTAATCTCGAGCAAAGCTGAAGAGATTGGGAATCAGCACCATGTCTGGAAGGTGACATACAGTTTCTTCTAGCCACACGCGGAGATGGCTTAGATAGGTGAAACAGAAGTCTAGCTTGGATAAGCTAAGCGAGTCAGCGTCATGTATGAGAAAGCAAAGCCCGAACCGTAGAAGCGTTCGTGGAGCGGATGAGAATAATGATTTGTAATTAGAGGCAAAAGGGTTGACTCATCAAGCCCCTGTTTTTCTGTGTAGGGGGAGTTGATGGGCTAAAGTAGCTACCCAGAAAAATTCTAATGACCATGAGTTGACTCACGGTGTCCAGACCGGATGCTAGAACAATGACTTCAGTATTCTGTAACTTAGTGTAAGTTCAGTGACCGTCATAATTGCTGTGGACGGGTTACTGACTTGCCCCTTTCCTTCCAGCACTATATAAGGCATAATAAAGCTCAGTACTAGTGGGGGAGCCTTTGGTATTTCACGCCAAGCAGTGTTCGTCTTTGTTAGCAGTTGTCCCAGTTGTATCTAGCACAGCATCGAATCGAGCTCGCCGCAGCCAGAGCTAGTAGGCTAGATAGCCGAGAAAACCTATCAATTTTCTGACGAGCGGCCTCACTCCTGATGAGGCTGAGTAGAGTTTCCAGGGTCTTGTCGTCGGAGGATCTTGTGGTCCTCGCTTGCTTGAAGGAGGACCAGGAGCTTGGCAGGGCACTCACCATCTTGGAGATTTGAACTTGTGGGTCCAATACCAAGCCGACCTCTACGAGTCCGTAGGTTGACCTCTGGTACCTCATGATGTTCTCGGAGACACTTTGAGCCTCATTGTACTCGTAGTTGAGCCATACATCAAGAGCCTCTTCCTTGAAGATTCCATCGTTGCGGTTGAAATGATTCTTGATATCTTTCCACATGACAACGGCACTCACGGTTGCGGATTCTCCGTAGAACGGTTCGAGGGTGATGCCCGGATGAACGATGTTGAAGAAAACGTTCCTGGCATTGCGATTTCCGGTTTCATACTTCGCAAGTGTTGCTGGATCCTTGTCCGGTACGATTTCTTCGTTCACCACCTACCACGCGTAGTTCTCCGCTTGGAGGAGTCCGGGAGCCAATGTTTTCCAGGTGAGAAAGTTTTCGCCATTCTCCCGGAGGACCATGGCAGGGTTGAAGCGGATCGTCGGAGTATCGCTTCCATCGACGTTCAGTGTGATCGCGGTGTCGCGCTACATCATTCAAGAGTATCACAGACCTCTCGACTCACCTCGGTGATGACAAACTCGGAGGTTGGGGTTTTCCTGTAGAGTTCACTCGTGCTGATAACGAATGCTGGGAAACCGCGAGGATTCCGGTGAGCGTTAGCTCACAGAGCAGGTGCTCAGTCGGCTGAAGTCTGCTGTTCGGAGTTAAGAGTTGTTTCGGCACAAAGTTCAGATGATCTCCGAGGGTCGAGGGCTAGTAGGGAAGGTGCTTCTCAAGAATGAGGACGCAAGGATTGCGCGTGACAGAAGAATCTGTATCTGATGTTTATTTCGATGTGTCTTACATATATACCGTCCGGGTTTCATAGACCCTTGCAGTGAAAAACGGAAGGAGTTATCCAGAAAAAGACCATCCAGTATTCTTCTGTATCAATTAGATCAGGGTTTCCTGGCTTACATATTTAAGTACAATTATCATGTGAACAAGCATAATTAACTCAGAAACACTGACTTCTGGAAAAAATTTGAGATAGTAATGGAAATGGCCCTGTTCACAGAAACATAGGTGATTTCCCAACAGCGTCAGCCCGGGGGGCCTCGACCCCGACTCCCGGTTTAAAGCTTCATTCTACTTGCGTGAGGGGCCAACCCGGTGTCCAGGGTGGCGGTTGCCCTGGATGCTCGACCGGAAGGATGGGATCCTCTGGTCGAGGCTGACAGAAATCTCGACAGGGAGGAGCTGAAGTAATGCTCACCTAGCCGGTTCTGGCTCTCACCCTCCCCCGTGAGGGTCACAGAGGATACGGGTTTTGGTGGGTATTCGTCTTCGGGTGCGAGTCCTACACTGCCGGCCCCGAGAGCGTGGATATCTCCTCGGCCCGTGCGTATGCATTTCTCCCAGACCTCTCGAAAGAAAAAAAAAAGAGCCCACTAATAATGTGTGGTCAGCAGAAGGAGATCTAAGCCAAGTCGTAGGAATCCGTGCTAGTCGGTGTCAGCTAGCAGACGAACATCGGAGAGAGAGTGTCTGTATGGCAGGCAAACTCGACATACGAGGCCGCAAATGATAAAATGATGAACATGATTGGATGGAGATGAGGACATTCCTAGATCAAATAAGAGGCTGATTTTCAACCAACATTCCGATTATATTAATAAAATATCAATAACAGTTTTCTCGAAATCTTCGGAGGCATCTTCCCCCTAGCTGGACAGATCCAGCTGACGGGCTCCTAGATCTAAGGCCTGCGGAGCAGCTGATGCTGTTCAGTCCTGAATACGAAAATTTGTCCGTGATCTAATGAACCTGAGTGTGTCGGAAAGACTGACACCCTTTCTTCATCTTTTACCGCCTCGAGTGCAGGTGAACTGCCGGCATCAGCGCCTGGAAGATTACAGCGAAGCGTACGATTTTCGGTCAGAGTGATATCAGTGCAGGTGGGATAAGGCGGCGGAAGTCTAACCTTGTCTGGGCCTGAATTTAATTTGCTCGATAAATTCGATCGGCGAAATCCTCCCCGCATCAAGCTCAGCCCACAAAAGGCGAAGCTTCTGCGCGTGGACTCGAGTAGGGCGATTCAGCGCTGATCGAATATCTTGGATGCCCCGGTCGCTAATGCTTGGATCGATCGGCACATCTTGAGCCATTCCGCACAAAACGTCTGGAAATGAGAGCTGCTGTCTTACCTTCACTTCAGCCCGATAAGGAGAGTTCCTCAAAAGACCAGGGGCATGCCCAGAATCCTTTGTCGGGGGGGGGAACAGGGGGGCAAAACCCAGTTTTGCCTATGGAGACGGGGCCAACGAGTAACGCGCCTCCCTCTGTCCTATTGTTTTACATAACGACGGGAGGCTATCGGAGGGGGCCATGGTCCCCTACCCCTCCCCCCAAGAGCACGCCACTGAGTGAGAGAGACTGCCAAGTGAAGGATACGCACGCATCAGACCCCATACTCGAGGGTAGGCTCCGAGTTCCCTCTTGAGCAAATCGTTATTACCTAGAGATTGGAAGTTCAGGCAGAATGCCATAAGTGCCTTAAAATGCCTATTTCCGCGGTTTCGTGAGCATTCTGCCTATTTCCGGGAAATTTCGAAAATTTTACCTTTTTCGCATGTTCGCTCCACAGGTTTTCAGGATTTTCCATCCAAACATTTCCCGGAGGACTGAAACTTCGTCTCCGTTCATCTAGTCGCGAGTCCCCTATAGATGCTTCACGGCTCTGAAATTCCTTTGCTGCTTCCGATGCGATGAGGCGACGAGGCGACGAGAAGTTCGATTAATTTCGTCGATTACGAGTCATGATTCCTCCGCATGGAATTGTCATTCAAGAGCACAAGAATTATTCTGCTTCCTTCTTCCGAGTCGAGTTGTTACCTCACCCGATTTTTGAAGCAGTTCCGTGGGCTCCGACTGGGGCTGATCGCCGCGTCGATGGTCTCGAGCGCTCCTGTGTACTTCCCGACAATATTATCTCGTCATCTGTCGGATTTATTCTACCCCACAATACTTCAGGTGTCTTCTGGCCGAGCCTCGTGCTAGTATGCCTGGCTCCCGAAAAAGCTCTCTGAATTCTGCGTTGATGCGCCTCACACCCGAATGACGTGCACGCCGGATGTCTCTTTGCACGTTCCACGTAGGGATTCGTCACTCGAATTCGATCGTTCCGAATGTTGTTGGGAACGAGATTCTCGAACCGCTCGTGGTCTTGCGATCTAATGGTTCTATATAGGTTACTAAACAAGAGCGTTTTAAGTTAAGAATGCCTGGACTGTGGACTGTTTTTACACTTGTGCTTCGCACGCATCTTGATTGACGAATTTCCCGCGGTGACTTGGAGGTTTGTGTTGTGTCAAGGTCGATCAACTCCGTTGCCGGGAATGAGGTAAGTCGTTTTTGCGGATCGTGCCGATTCCATTGGAGTTCAGAATGCCGAAACAAGGTTCGAGTTCACGCGGAAAAATGAGGCGCTTCATTCGAGATTTCGGACCGGCATACTTCGCGACTGATGGAGACTTTCTGACGTGCAAAGTCTGTGAGAAAGTTGTGAATGCCGAGAAAAAGTTCTTTGTCGAGCAGCACGTCAAGAGTGCCCAACATCAAAACCGCCTGCAAACCCCAGGAAGGAGCAATCAGAATGTTTGCTTGTTGTCGGATTTTCTTAATCTTTCAAACAAGCAGAGTCCCTCCAACATGGACCTCTGTCAAATGCTAAGGGGAACGAATATACCCTTATTCAAAGTCCAGAATCAATCGTTCCGAAATTGTCTTGAGAAGTATTCCAAATATCAAGTTCCAGAACATACAACGCTGCGGAAGACTTACCTCCGGAAGCTGTACGACGCCACAATCCTGAAGATTCGTACTGCGATCGGAGAGAATCCCATATGGATATCGATGGACGAAACCACGGACGGGAAGGGGCGATACGTTGTCAATACTATAATCGGACGTATGTCTGCAGAAGGACCATCTACTCCGTTCCTGCGGACACACACAACTCGTCGCCGGCCAGATCTTCGCCGACATCTCATCGCCGACTTCTCAACGCCACCCAACCTAACGCCGGGACAACTCTTCGCCGCGACGACCCATCGCCGGTCAATTCAACGCCGGACCGACTCTTCGCAGGACAAGCTAACGCCAGTCAACTCAACGCCAAAATGGGATGTTTGCTTTCCGGTTTATCCCCGGAGAAGGATCATAAATGATTTCGCGTTCAGTCCGTCAATTATTTTATTTACACTGTTCACAACGAGTCTAGACCTCTCCTTCTCTTAACTTAAGAACTATACTCCGTCGGTCTCTGAAGGAAGATCTCCGAATTCGTGAAAATTCCAACGAGGCCTAATCACGGTTCCATTTGGAAACTTGCTGCACAACCTCGTAGGTATTCCACAAGCGTCCGTGTGTGGAAAGTGCTCACCAGCGCTACTATTTTCTTATCCAAATCAGCGGACTTTTTGCGTTTCGCGGCAGCCTCGTTCCCACTCTCAAATCTTGCAAGCATCATGTCACGATGACTCTGCACCTTTCGGAGCCCGTTTGTGAAGCGCCACAGATTGGGATGACGAACGCCGAACTCCGTCTGAAGCCGGCGGTGAGCAGCTTCCGCAAAGTTATTGGTGCGCGAGTCTCCGGCTAGCGTTCGAAAATACACGGACCACGTGGTTGGGGCGAACAAAGGCTGTTTCCGAATAACGGTGCCATCGGGTAAAGTACGGAGCAACGACCCCACGTAAACATCTTCGAAGTATTTGAGAGCCGGCATCAGCTCCTCCGGTAAAGCTACCGCGAGCTCGGCAATCGCATTGTCGAGGTGGACCAGCGGTACAAAAGCCAGGGCGACGATCATGCGAGCGCTCAGCGAAAAGCTTGATTCGTTGCGATACCGACCCAACAGGCCCAGATCTCTGATCTTCTTCTTCAAATTCTGAACTAGGTGAAACAAACACCCGTGTACTTCGGCACTCGGAAAGGCCGAGGCAAAAGCCTTGATCAAACCCATTTCATAGTCACTTGAGATCGCGGAGGGAGCCGAGGCAGGCCAGGCTGCGACTGGGAGTTCGATCATTCGTGTGTAGGATCTTTGGCTTTTGTCCGGTAATAACGCGTAGCGAACCGGGAGCACGACATCCCCGCGCTCTGCGAGAATCGCGACGATTTGATAAAAGCATGGAGGCGATAGACTAAATGTGCCATCCACATAAATTTTCCGAGACAGACCAATCCATTCGCCGACGGAGTCGCGCCCGAAAAGAAGAACACGACTTTTATCCCCTTCTCCTGGAAGAAGCAAACGAAATAAGATTGATTCACTGTATTCGAATGATCGAGCTCGATAACGGAAAATCTATTCCGTAAGAAAATTGGACTCTCCCCCGTGTCTCCTATGAGGAACTTTTCGAATACACCGTTCTCACTTTCGAACAGCAGGTTGCTAGGTATTGACAGCGCCAGAATATCTTCGTTCCATCTCTGCTCTTCTTATCTTGAACGAACATATGTCCTTCGTAGACCTATTTCGACCTTCCGCGCTGCGATGTTATCTCTCGGCTGCTCGAAAATTCCATCCTATCAAGTCCTGGTCGTCGACTTCCTGGTCGTTCTCTGAACACAACGCTCTCGGGATACTGAATCTGATTGACCGTGGACTCCCTCGTGGTGCCTCGGACGGTTTCGCGAGCGATGAGCTGGTTTCGTTGAGCTGCGCAACGTGACACCACGCTTTGAAGCTGAGACGGGAGAAACGCGCACATCATTTCTGCAACACCTGCTTCTCATTCAGCGACGATTCAATGCGAAAGAGAAGAGCTCTCCATTCGAATCAATCGGCGCCATGAATCTTGCTCATGCCCCATGGAACTCTTGTTGTGGACCAGGAAAAACACAAGAGCTGGTGAGCTCCGGAAACGGACACTTGTGGCATAACTACGAGCTTGTCAGAGACCGACGGGGCTGTCAGAATGTCAATAGAATGATAATAATCGACGGATCGAACGTCAAATCATTTTGAGGTATCATTCTCGAGGGATGAACTGAGAGGCAAGCATCTAGTGTTGGCGTTGAGTTAACTGGCGTTAGCTTGTCCTGCGAGAAGGATGAGGCGGAGGTGTTTGGCCGGAGGGGAGCGGTGCGTCGATCGCCAACCCAGAGCAGCCAGCAAAAGGAGCTCAAGGTCGACGCCTCGGGTGACACCATCTACATTGATGACTCATCTGGCGCGGAAGCGACTTCAGAAACCGGGAGAGCTGTGAGGGCGTCAACACCATTGCCCCTAGAGACGGGAAAAGACCTCTCAAAGAGGGCAGATAGGAGACGACTGAAGAAGCGAAGGAGACGAGAAGCTGAGGAGTCCAGTAGAGATGAGCACTCGAGCCGCGAGCACTCACACTGTGAGAACTCCGTCAGCGAGCAGCCGGAAAAACCCGCCGAAACGTTACCCGATCTATACAGGGAAATGCACCGTGTACTCGCGAAGACTTGGGCGCTACTCGCCATGACCAAGGACGAGGAGACGACGAAAGCCAACGCGAGGCCCGTACGGAGGTACGCTGAAGTACTGCACGCCATTGCAAAGAGGTACTGCGACACAGCTGATCAGCTAAGGCAGAAGAAAGCGTCACTGGTTAGCACCGCTACCCAGACAGTGCCAAGGACGACAGACTCGGGTACGCAGGTTGAGCGTCAGCTCCCTGCTACAGGCCGGAGCCAAAGAGCAGAGAACAGAGGAGGCGAGAAAGATTCGAGAAAGAATGGCGGCAGCTGAAAGGACCCCGGCGCGGATAGTGCCCCTGCAGGAAGAGGCATGGCCAAGGGAGACCTTCACCAAAACCAAACTGGCTAGGTCAAGCATCCAGGCAGGCTGACCCGACAGGATCATCCTAATCAGGGAGAACGACGCAAAGGACAGGGAAAGGCTGACTTTGATAGAGCGGCAGTTTCCCGGCATGAATCACAAGAGACTTCTGGAGGGGCTCGGGCAAGGCTGCATTGCCATGATCACCAACCAGAGTAAGGTCGACATCGAGGATGACGAGAGCGGGGTAGAGGCGCCGGCGACGGCGCACACTCTCATCGTAGGGAAGCTGGCTGAGAAGAAGGAAGACGGCGACGGAGAAGAGCTCATGAAGCTGTGCCAGGAGAGGGTGTAGCAGCCTACTACTGCAGCCACCAGAAGCGGAGGATATCGAAGTTATTCGGAAGGTGGTCGAATGCTGCATGGAAGGAATAGACGTCAAGGTCGAGATATGCCGGAAGGACACGTCGAAACCGGTGACGAACGAGCCGAAGGCAGCAGCAAGACAACCGAAACCGCAGAAGTTGAAGCCACCGACAGATAGGCCCGACGTCGGGGTGGTCATGGTGAAACCGAAGAAAGAGCACGATTACGCCGAAGCTCTCAAGAGCCTCAAGGCGAATGTGCAAGTGGGAGGGGATGGTGTAGAGCTAGAGAAGATCTCGATCACCAAGTCGGGAGAAATTCGAATCCAGGTTAGGGAGACTCGTGAAGGAGGTCGAAAGAACTTCGCCGAGAAGCTGTCCCAGAAAGCAGAAGCCCTGCAGGCGGAAGTGAAAG